GTCGGAAGTGTGATTCATGTCCCCACAACATCCACTCATTCACTTAAAACAATCACATTATGCAAGTCGCCAGAACTCAAGATCAACGAGTGCGGCAAGGGTTGAACAGCTCGTAGGTAGAAGCACTGACACCAAGGACTAAGTAGGCGGATAGGTAGACAAGAAGGATTTTGGAGGCCGATGTATTTCATGATGAATGTTTTGAAAATCCTTCCGAACCCATAATGATTTATGGTGAAATAACTTTATCTGTGTGTTGCTCTGATATTGAAATTTCACGATCACGAACAACACACATCATTATTTGTGTGTTAATTTGGATGCCGGGCACATTTGAATTTGGCGTGNTCTGGACATCTTATTTGGCTCGCTTGCTTGAGTGCTTTTGGCCGCATATTTGAGGTTTGCTTTATTGTTCATTTTGTAATGATTTCGTTAATTCAGTACCGTAGAACATTGCGGATCAATTGTGTTTCTAATTCCGAATGAGTATTGGTTCGGCTAAGCGTCACTCAAGTGCGAAATGGGTGACGTATACACGGTCCTTATACTGATGCATGTAAACAAGCAGCAGTTTGTTCTTTCTGATCTTCTCCCGAATTTCGCTTCAAACGGGTCAAAATAATCATCTTTTCCTGCATCAAACGGCACCATACAACGATCAATGCTCACGTTTCCAAGCCAACGGAACTGCTCTACCCATTCGATCCACATTTTTCCTATCGCATTTTCCACGACACCATCCCGACGTAGTTTTAGGCAGCACAGTTCTTGTAATAATAATTTTTGCTGGTAACAGAACTGGGGCAACAAATCCAAGCCAATCGTTGAGTCAAGCGACATAGGATAGCACCACTCGCCTTGTGACAGTCCCCGAGTAAGCCTTGACAACAAAACTAAATGTGTTATTTTATTTGTCCCACTCTAGCCCGAGCGTTCGGCATGTGCTCGCTGGACTTTAGGTGCACGTTCACCCTTCCATCCATTCGTTCACCGGCGAGCAAGCCCTTGAGAACCTCTGGCGAGTTGCTGCGCCATTTGGTTAAATTGAAACCGGATGCTCGTTGCTTCAGTCTAAGGCGTATCACCGCGCTCCGAATATCATGTATAGACGATCGACTAAGTAGGCAATCGTCAACGTAGAAGGATTTCTGCGCATAGGTAATGTCGAAATAAGGATATCGATCGCCATCTTCACTTATTGCCCGATTCCGGGAGTAAACAGCACAGCATGGGGATGAGGTAGCTCGAAACGGGTGAACAGTCACCTGGCAGGTGTCTGGTGGTTTTCGCATGTCTCTCGTTGACCACCACAAAAAACGGAGGGAAGATCGTTGATGTTCCGTCACCTTCACCTGGTGGAACATCGCTTCTATATCCGCAGTCGCAGCGTACGGGTATTCTCTAAACCGCATGAGTACGCCACATAAGTTGTTAGTAATGTCGGGTGCGGATAGCAGTTGAGAATTAATAGACGTATTCTGATATTTACTGGCGCAGTCGAATACTATTCTCAGTTTCTCAGGCTTCATTGGGTTCAATACGGGATGGTGGGGTAGATACCGGATTTCTCCCGGTCTCGCTAGATTTGGGTTCCTAACCAACTCCGCATACCCTTTGGTGATATAACCTGACATTACGTCTGTGTATTGCTCGTTCAGGTCTGGGTTCTTCCGGAGTCGTCTTCTTAGTGTATGTAGGCGTCTGAGAGCAATTGGTTTATTATTTGGCAGACATGGGGAGCCCTTTTGCCAAGGCAGCGGCAGTTCGATGTGCCCTCCTATCAGTAGACCATTTGCTTCGAGTAGGCTTATGGCGTCCTTGTCTTCCATCGAAACGGATCTAGCGAGGGGCTTCGGTTCATCGAATTCCAAAGCCCACTTGGCACACAAACGATTAAATAACGGGTCTTCTACAAGCATGTAATCGACGTTCGCCTTCAGGGAGTTGGTTTCCTTGGTTGGCCCCATACATACCCAGCCCAGTGAGGTCCTTATGGCGTAAGGTTCATCTATACCACCATACCGGTGCTCCAACACCCAATGGGCAGCCGGAGCATTCATTCCTAAAATCACCGACACCCGCGCGCCATCGATACGTTGGAAATCGATACCAAACAAATGTTCCCACTGACCATTCGGGGCAAAACGCGTCATTTGGGGGAGATGACGGACGGACCAGGCCTTCGATATCGGTAATTGAANTAATTGAATGCTGTCTCCCATACCACTGAGGCGGAAGCTCACTACTTGTGAACTTATTTGTACCGTTTGTATAACCGTTGATACCGATGAAACGGCTGAGTCACCAACGAGGCCCCACCTTCTCACCACAGCCTCATCGATAAGCGTAGAGTGGGACCCTTTGTCTAAGAGAGCGTAAGTCGAAATAGACCCGGATGGACCGAATATCTCGACCGGCAGTACAACCAGCGCGATTTTTTGTCGCTACCCATAAATAGCAAGACATTGACTATCACTCTGAAGGACTTAGTGACTGTTTACATATCCGATGTGTAGTAGTGGATGATGGGGTACCGAGCGTTGATTTACTCCACAGACCTTGCGTGATCTACAGTTATTTGTCTCGTGATTCGGCTCAAGGCTCAAGGCGCATAGTAAAATCCTCTCAATAATTTCCACTCTCCTTTGTATGCTGAGCGCTATGAACGCGCCACATTGGTCGACATAGTGGTTTTCCGTTCACAGTAGGCATTGTCGGCGGGCTCTCATAAACTTTGGACTGTGGAACGTGTAGTTCGCTTGGGTGCTATACGCGGCTGCCCTAAGTGGTGTTTCTTTCTCTATGGGGAAGCGTGGCTGTCGGCTTGGTTGGCCTGCGGAGTAGAACTGATGGATCATCAGAACATTGGCTCTTTCATCCACGAATTCTTTGAGATCTAGGAACGTCGGTTCACGACCCTGGCGTAACATGGAGGAAGCATTTTCCGACCACTTAAACTGTAATACTTGCGGCATTCGTCTTACGATGGCAGTGATTGTTTGAGAGGAATTCAAGTCTGACACGTAATTCAGTCGGTGTAGCTTATTCCTGCAGTTTCTCATTTCCCCGGCTAGCTTCATGAGCGTTACAGGGTCCAAGTTCCTGATCTGCGGTCCATAGACAAGCTCGTCTATGTGTGCCCTAAAAATAATGTGGGGCTGGCCGAAACGACGCCTGAGGATCCTTAATGCCTCCGCAAAGCCCTCTGATGGGTCAGGGATTGCACAGCATTTTATAGCCTCCTTTGCTTCTCTTTTGCAGTGTTGTAATTAGTAAGACAAACGGCTTTCATCATCGGTTACCCTTTTCGCAACAGCACCTTGAAAGCTTCTGATGAACAACCGATGTTGACGGGAAACACCATCTAAATAAACAATTTCTCTTAAAAGTAAAACACCCCGGGGACGGAGCTGGACTGCCCATATTGCCATGGTCAACCTTCAGCAAAACACCTGACAAAACATCATGAACTATTTTAGGAGGATGGTCGTTTATGTCAGCATGAATTGGCAGCGACCGAGAACTCTCGACCGCTGGGGACTCACCGAAATTTTTCTCAGCGTCGGAATACAAATTGTCTCCAGATGTCATTTTGTCCGTTATACGAGCTTCTTTCAACGCTGATTCCAGGAGACGAATCCTTTGCTTGTATTTTGCATACATAACGCCATCATCTTGCATATTTGAATATTTCTCCAGATCCGAGAGAGACAATGAATCCTTCGGAACACCCTCATTTCTTGACATTTCGGTTAACTTTGTAGTAAATAATCGGTCGTCCTTAATCGACTCATTCCAAATATCTGCTAGAGATTTCCAGTCGGCTCAGCTGCGAGTTGCCTTCCTAAGTCCGATTCGGTAACTGGTTTACTTCGCGTCCCAACGGATACGAGATGCAGAATCAACAAACGAGATTCGTGAGACACGGATCTATAATACATGTATGATCATATACAACGAAATAATAACGTACAACCGAAGTTTTCAAGCAAGCGAGTCTGAAACGTTAGCGTATTGAGTGGTGTGTTCACGCTGTCCGTTAGTCTTTACATTGTGCGCGTCGTAATGTGTTGATATAACTGAGTATTGTATTGTATTTGTAACTTTTGTAAGCATATAGGCTTACATTTCAGTTTAAAATGTACATTGTTCGTCGCGCAGAAGGAAATCAAAATAATCAAAACAAAAGTAAACAAGGTCGTTTATTTACGTATCATGTACAAAGCATTTGAAGTAATTCATTTGAGACCTGTTCCTTTTTGGTGAGTAGTCGGGTCAGGTAGGGTACAGGGGAAGTTTTATAAATGGTAATGCGAGAGGGTAGTTGTCGAAATGAGGAGCGTGTGGATGGATGGGAACAAGGAGACGATAGATCAGGGTGTAGTGGATGCAGAGGGTCGTCCAGAATCTTATGAGCAAATTTAAAACAAGAGTTGATGTGA